TTGGAGTTAGTTCAGGGCAATACAGTATTTGCTACAATCATAATTTATTTTGTTCATATGAGTATTGTCTCTTTAACAGATATACAAATCCTATGCCTTTCTTCTCTCCCTATTATCTCCCCACATTACCAAATACATGTTTTGTAATGCCCATAATTTTTACCCCTAAAAATAAATATTTTAAGAATGGCTTTTGTCCTGTGTTCTGATATGCTACTAAAATATAATTCAACATGTGTTTCCACTAGTTAGATATGGACTAAAATATATTAAGGGTTTTCTTTATGTAAGTCACTGAAGGAGAAAACATTGGTCTAATATTATTAGATTTTTTAAATCTATTTAATATTTTTTAAAAATCTAAAACACTTAAAATATAAAATATAAAGAATAATAAAATATTTAAATATTTTAGAAATATAAACTATAAACTAAATAAAATGATTATTAAATAAAATAAAAATATAAAAGCAGTCAAATCATTGGCTATACCATTAAGTGCCTAATAGTTTGTTCCAAATCCTTCTGGATTTTTCAAAATATGTAATATTGTATATATGCTCTTATTTGCATTCAGAAGTTGACTAATCTTTAAGAGAGCCCACAAATTAGCAACTTGATATGTACATATTTGTGCCTGAATAGTTTGTACTTATGTTAAGTGGCTTACCCAATTAAATAGCCACAGATGCCTATTTATAAAACCTAAAGTTGGCATAGATACAATTCACCTAACAGTCATCTTTAGCTTTAAGTCCTTTTTTTTTAATCACAAAGGAATATAAAATTATTTATTAACCACTGTTTGCCAGTATTTACAATAAAGTAAACAATATAGAGTTGGGTAACATTCTGTTTACTACAAAGCTATTGTTTTTCCTGGCTTTTGTTGAACCAGTATCCCAAATACTGAGACTGAACCTACATGTAAGGAATGAGTTGGAGTAAAGAAAAAAATGCAGATCAAGAGTTTAGATTACAAAATGTTGGTTCATCCATTAATTCCATTAGGTCTTAATTGCCAAGGTCTCTAATAGTCTGATTAGGTGTCCATGAATAAAGTCTTACAGTAAGTTCCATGACCCTAATTATTTAGTCAATATAGCACAGGGATTTCAACATCTTGTAAAGGAGTGTTTTACAAGATGAAACCTTTAAATAAGTGTTGTTTACCTAATTAAAACACATCAATCCATATCTACAATCATAAATGCAAGTTTATTTGCAAAACCCCTGAAAGGAAAATTTTATCACTGCCAATAACCTCCTCACCCAAATGCGAAAACTAAGCTTTAAGTCAAATTTACATTTTGAGATGAAGAGAAAGCCTGCTCAATTTGTTTCTTTATGGCTCCCTAAGCGGGGCAGAGTCCTCTGCCTGTGGTGGGGTTATATACTGCAGACCAGACTATTTGGATCACTGATGTCTTTAATTAACACACAGAAGGTCATGTTAGTGCCCAGGAGCTGCCCATGGCAGATGCTTTGCCTAATCATTATTGGATCCAATCACTATTAATCATTAAAGTTTCACTGGGGTTTGCAAGTGTGGAGAGGAAACAGCAGGTTTTTCTACACAGCCCATTGAAATCATTCTTCTTGTCCATTAACTCTTATGAGGTCATGATGCTAATGCTTCCCCAAGACGGTCATGTACCTCTCTTTCCATTCACCATGTGCTTCTAGTTTGGATCGCGGAGCCTGGTTTAGATTGCTGCCTCCATTGGTATGTCACACGCTTCACTAAGGGAACCATTGCCCTTTAGTATAACAGAAAATGCAGGTCAGTCCCAGGAATGAGGGAGTAAGTAATAGTTCAGTTTTATTTTATTTATTTATTTATTTATTTATTTATTTATTTATTTATTTAATTTCCTCACCCAGTATATTTTTAAATTGATTTTCAGAGAGAGTGGAAGAGAGAGGGAAAGACAGAGAGAAATATCAATATAAGAGAAACACGTAGATTGGTTGCCTCCTGTATTTGCCCTGATCAGGGCCCAGGCCAAGGAGGAGCCCACAACCAAGATATATGCCCTTGATTGGAATTGAACCTGGGACCCTTCTGTCTGCAGGCGACACTGTACCCACTGAGTCAAACTGGCTAGGGCTTGCTTAACATTTTAATGTATCCTATACACTGCCCAAAAGTGCAACCATTTCCCTGACCAAGGGTAATTTACAGAATTTGAATCTCCTATGTCTATGTGCTGAGGATTGTGACAAGTGATGAATTTGTAACACTAGGTGACAAGAATGACTCGAAAAGTTATTACTTGGAGGTCCAGAACTCAAGTTCATGTTCCATTAGAATGTCTCTCTTGAGATCTTTTTTCACAAAAATAAAATGTTGAATTGGGTCACTACTAATTCTGTAGAGAATTCTTTGGAAAAGTTACTTCAGCAATCCCTTGAGTTTTAAACACAGAAGTTTTTGTTTGTTTGTTTTTAACATAAATGATCAGCTCCAACAGTCTATATCCAATTATTACTATAACATTTGTAATGCATTTACATTAAAATGAAAAGATCAATGAGATTTCTTACAACTTTCTTCATAAATACCTGGATAACCAAGTATTTATATTTTCATTCTGTCAGTAAATTTTAAGAGCTGCCAGTAGGATCTCAAGCCCTTTTGATTTTTCTTATTGTCCTTCTGAAAAATGTAATCTCTCACTTCTTTGTAAGAGTATAATCTGCCTGATATTGTTAGTTCCCTATTCTTTTCTACAGTATTACATGTCTTCAAATTCTATTCTCAAGCTCTTACTATATTTCAGAACTTATCCTACTTTTTATATTAATGTGTCAATCAAAACAAAGTCTAAAAGTTAATTACATAAAACTGATAAAGATCACGAGATTTTTTTCATCCTTTCTTCAGTTGAGTTAATTAAAGGAATGTGTAGTTTAGCGGAAGAAAATAGCTTCATCCTTTGGCAACATAAAAAACATAATTTCCTAGTTGATCATTACAACTGGAAAACATTTTTCTCACCCTTGTATAACGTTGGAAATAATTTCATTGCTCATGTAAATCCCCATCAGCTTTTGTGAGTCGTTTGGCTAGAGCAAGAAAAGATCAAATCATTTAGATGAGAAATGAAGTAATGGCAAGAAAAGGTTGAGATTTTCATGGTTTTCTGTTTGCTTTTTCTGTGACTCATAGTCTGTGATCTTTTTTTCCCCTAACAAAGATTATATCTGAGCAAGGGGTCTCTGAGCAATGAGGTGATAGAAACTGCATGAGGATCATTGCTATAATTTTCTTGGAGATAAATGCAATTTGTTAGCTACTTATCTACATCATCCTTTATCGCTCTAATGCAGAGACTGCTACAGTTAGCCACAATGCCTCTCCATTTCAGGAAAGCATTACCTAGGAAATTGGCCGAATACACAAGTGAGAAATAGAAAATTATTAGAAAATCCTCTGTTATATTCTTTATAGTCATTGGAACTACATTCAGGCTAAAGCAGTTCATATCAGCATTGAGATAAATACAATGTAAGAGCATGGGGAACACTGGAGATTAGAGTAGGAGGAGACTAACTACCATGGAGTAGAGCCCTTGCTTTGCAACCTATAGGTTTTATGCCTGCAGCAAATCATTTGCCTTCTGAGTCTTATAATTTTCTCATTTGTAAAATGTGGAAAACAGTAGGACCTATCTCATATCTATTGTGTTAATATGTAAGGAAGCTTTATAGTACCTACCTTGTAAGTCACAGTATATTCTCACAAATATGCATTATTATTGCTCAGGCAGCAGAAAATATACATTTTTACTACTCAAGCAGCAATCTTTGTCAAATTTGTCTTACCCTAAATCCTCATTGCACAGGATTCATAATTCATCAATGGTAAAAATAAATTAATTGAAATTTACAGATTTATCATTCTTTCATATAAATTTTTTATACTAAGATGTAATTTATTTCAACAGATGTTTCTCAAATGCATCCTATGTGCCTACCATAAAACTATAAAAATTCAAACAAAGAAAAAAAAAACATGAGTCCACGATGACAACATTGTTAAATGTGTTCAGGTTTAAAGACATATTCTTATATATAAAAGGCTAATCATCAAACTTGCTTTATCTATCATGTAGTTATATTGTGGACAGTGATATAAGGTTATTGCTCTATTAACTCATTCAAGATCAAACTTCTAGTGACAAAATAATGGGTGATGAGGTACATAATGATAATTTAAAACATACTACAACCAAAGACATTAAATGTGAAGAACAAGATTAAAAATGTGTAAAAATCATCTCAGAAAAGCCACTCAAATATATATCTTAATTATGTGGCAGATAATGTTTTTATTTAATTTATTAGAGTGACACTGGTTAAAAAATATGCAGATTTCTATAACACATCATCCATACACTGTATTGTGTGTTCACCATCCAAGTCAAGTCTCCATCCATCATCATTTATCCTCCCCCTTCCCCCTACTCCTAGTAATAATGACACTGTTATCTGTGTGCATGAGTTTCTCTCTCTCTGTTTTCCTCAGTCCCTCCTATTTTGAAACTACACCAAGTTTAACCAAAGTTGAGCATCACCTTTATATCAGTTGGCCTGAACAGACATGCAGTTTTCAACATGGATGCCATGAAGTATTTAGATAATATGTAATTAGCAAGGCAAATTAGTAAACAAATATTGGGCAGTAAGAATGGGTCAGTAGGTCCGAAATATCATTCAAGAATATGAATTCTGATTTTAGTTACTGATATCAATTTTCAATCAGTCTTAACTCAAGTGCTTTCATTGGTCACTGTTGTAGAGTTAAGAGATAAAGTGTAAAGGGTGTATACAGATAGAATTGAGGAAGAAATAAATTTATCCCTTAGAAGTATTTAAAGTTAAAATTATTCAACAACATGTGGGCAAATAAAATGCTTTCAATGGCCAGATTATGGACACTAGGAGATGGTGGAGTAGGAAGCACCAGGAATCTGTCTGTCTACCTAGACAACTACTGCCCTCGAAAAATCTCTCAGATATAATTATTTTGGCACTCTGTAGCCTATTAATGGCTTGGATAAAAAAAATATGGTTAACTTTTTGTTAATCCTCACCCAAGGATATTTTCCCATTGATTTTTAGGGAGAGTGGAAGAGAGAGGCAAGGACAGAGAGAAACATCAATGTGAGAGAAACACATTGATTGGTTGCATCCTGCACGAGCCCTGGGCCTGGGAAGAGTCTGCAACCAAGGTACATGCCCTTGACTGGAATCAAACCTGGGACTTTTTGGTCCACAGGCTGATGCTCTATCCACTGAGCCAAACTGACTAGAGCGTTTTAAAAAATATATGTTTTTATTAATTTTTAGATAGAGAGGAAGGGAGAGAGAGAGAGAGAGAGAGAGAGAAAGAGAGAGAGAGAGAGAGAGAAACATCAATCGATTGCTTCCTGTCTGTCCCCTGCTAGGGATTGAGCCCACAACCTGGGTTTGTGCACTGACTGGGAATCGAACTGGTGACCTCTTGGTGCGTGAGACTGTACCCAATCCACTGAGCAACATCAGCCAGGCAAAATGTGATTAATTTTGGTCAATGTGACATTTTAGCACAGTAGCAGGCATGTGTTCCTGCAGCAGCCTACACACAGATTTCAGGAGCTGGGTGCACAAAAGGAATCTGTGCTCTGAATACTGATGGCTACTTTTGACCTCAGAGGTGCAAAGAGGCAAGTGATCATTACTGTTGGACCTTCCCACTTTGTAATTAACCCCTTCCCCTCTCACTGATGGGAAGGTAGGAGATTTAAAGGGCAAGCTCCATTCCCTTTCCTTCATTTTTATCATTCCCTCCCTTTGGGAGCCAGGCAATAGAGAATAGGATATTCAAAAGCAAATGCAGTTGTGGGGAAAACTAGAAAATGACCATGCATGCTAAAGGAAAGGTACAGGTTCATAAAAGACCTGAGATGACTTTAAGTTCATACCTTATGCTGATTCTTGACATAGAGCCAGCCCCTCCCCCCAAAAAAATTTCAATAAACCAAATAAAATATATATTTAAAAAAAGCAAACCCTAGAGAAGGGAGACACTCTGATTTCTAGAGTTTACACATTATTACATTCAAATGTCCAGATTCAGACAAAAACCAGTTATTAGCCTGTCTTCCATCTTGTAAGTGGTTGTATTCTACAGGTTTGCAGCATGCACACCTAGTTGCCTGTCCTCTCTTCAACTCATTGTATTTCCTGGGTATATCCAAACAGACTGCCCAAACTGATCCTTTCCTGCTACTCCTCTTCGTTAATGTCCATACCAGCTACTTGCTTTTTCAATGCTAGAAATCTTGGGTTTATACTGAAAATTTCCTTATTCTTTATTATTGACTTCTAATTTATGACAAAATATTATTGTTCTTTTGTCTTAATTATCACTGAAATCCATCTAGCTCCTCATTTCTATTGCATAATGCACATGTTTAGTATCTCTTCGAAGGGTTGTAGCAAAGCTCTTAATCATGTTTCCTTCCTCTTTCACTCATCCCCAGCCCGTCCTGCGTGTCTTGTGGCAGAGGCAATGCTGTGTTCTTTCACTATTTCCCCTTTTGCGGCACACAAGTAGGTAGACTGAGGCCAAAACAATCATTTCTGGCCAATGGGATGTGGCCAGAAGTGGTATTAGGCTTAGTACGTAAAACGCATTCTGTCTTACTGTATAGTCTTCTCTTGGTTTTCTAAATCCTGTTAACGTAAGAAAACATTCAAACCTGTAAAGAATTTTTGTGAATTTATTTGAGCCAAACTGTCGACAATTGCCAGGAAGCAGAATCTCAATGAATTAAGATAATGCTTGAGAGAATGGCGGTTTTTTCACCTTGTTTTATACATTACAATCAAAGAAGGAGATGTAAGTGGGTTACATGAAATCCATTGGTGATAGATTAGGGAGGTGGGAGAAAGTTAAGGGGGGGACCTCTGGGATTGGATGAAAAGTAACGTACTAGACATGCTTCTTTTACAGAGGTGGGTGCAGGATAGTTAACCGTCAACAATTAACAGATAATAATAACAATAAGGCAATCTGTGGTCTGGCCCTGGAGACATGAGGGGTCCAGAGAAAGGGAAGTTATGAGTTATCCTGACATTCCATAGGTATGTTATCTTAAATGCAAAAAGACATTAGGCTCAGTAAAGATCAAAGTTGATCTTTGTCAGGAAAGATACTGGCCTAGGACATGACTACCCACTATAAACTGCTTTTTAATGAAAAGGTTTTAACTTCAGACTATCTTTTGTGGTTACTTTAGGTCCCTTTTTGTCCGCAATCCTAAACTTCCTTACAAACATACTTCTCTTTGCCTTTTTCCACATTATTCTTTCTGTCTAAAATTCCCTTGCCTCTTCTGTCCTATTCATCACTCAAAACTTAGATCAAATGCAACTAGGTATTCTGAGCAAAGTCATAGACATTTTTTTATTACACCTTTGTCTTTCTTTTTTTTTATTGTTTTATTGCTTAAAGTATTACAAAGGGTATTACATATGTCTCCTTTTTCCCCCTGCCCTTGACAATCCCCTGGCACCTTTGTCTTTCTTACCTTTGTTCATCACTGGACATACTGTCTCGGTGTTACCTGCTAATGTTTTTTTTCCTCCTTAGACTATTAGTTACCTGAGGTCAGGGACTGGCTGCTCTCTTCTCTGATTCCCAAGTGCCTACCACATTGACCTACATGCAGTTGGCATTTAATAAATATTTCTTAAATTAATGTTAAATGAGCAACAGATTATATCAAGCATGGAAAATCCTGGAGGGAAGGTTAGGAACCAGTGACTAGATTGCTGATAGATTTCAGATATATTTTTCCTAGATTACTCAACATTCCTTATTTCTTGCCACAATAACTGGCCAGCTTGTGTATTTTAATTAACTGTTAGCTCTCCTGGGATACTCAGAAGTGTGAAGTTACTTTGGTAAATATTATCATGGTACCACCAATAAGGAACATCTCAGTCTAGACTAGGCAGACCCCCATCCCTCATCAGTGGCAGGGGAGATTAGCTCTCAAGAATGCCTTCTGCTACTTGGTATTTGCATGCTTCCCCAGACAATGGCTTTCATTAGACTTTTAATAACACTCTCAAAAACCGATTGGACAATGGGAGACTATTTGTCACTATCTTATCTGTTGTCTTGGTTCTTCCATTAGCCTACGTGGGTGTCTGCAGAGAGCTGAAGCTATTTATCAGTAGGGGAGCAGGAACTGGAAGACTCCTGAGTCATTCAGTATTTACTGTCCCAGAAAAGCCCAATAGTCATCAAAGGTTAGGACCAAGGCTGATAGTGATGTAAGATTATCCTGCTTAGAGAGGTAAAGACACCGAGGTCATAAAGAAAATCATCAGTGGAAATGTTATCTGAGATAAAAATAATAGAGCAGCACATGTGGTGGAAAGGAAGGAGTTATTTTTATTAATAATAACACTTTATTATTATTTTTTGAGACTGCAGTAGGGTTGTAGGAGATATTAATGCCCCTCAACTGTATATGATTCTTGAGTAGCTCTGGGAATTGGGAAGTCTGCAATTTATAAGCTCTTGCCTCTGTTCTTATGAGTGACTTAACCAAGCTCCTGTTAGCAAAACTCTTAAGCAACAGAAATCCTAGCTGAGATTTTAAAGCCCAGAGAAAAGATTATACAGTTCTCCTGCATAAAAACAAAAGGTTATTAATGCCGTGCTGCTGGTCAAGTCTCTTTTCAATTCAATGGAACATTCTGTATTAAATGAGCCCACCAGTGCTGGGATGAGACAAGCTAGGGTGTCATTTATCACTGGCCATTTAGGGTGCACCAACCATAGAGCCAGCCCTCAGATTGACCCTGACAAAAGCTGGCCCCCTGTGTGCGCAGAGAGTTTTATCTGTAGGCATGCTGAGCTTTTTCTGGATTTAAATTTATTTCCCTGACATGGTTCATGGCTCCTGTCTCCAGGTGCTTGTCCTCTGAAGGGAGAGCCTGCCTCTGCAATGCACCACCTACAGCAGCTCATAGCCCTCTGGCAATTTGTAGCTCTGGCTCCTTTTCAACTTTTAAATCTTAGTTTATGACCCATTTATCTGGATCATTCATGGTGGAGCAAGTCGCAAATTTTGCCTTTTGCTGCATCACCCAAGGAGATGTGTCATGAGAAGGTGCTATTGCATTAAGGTGATTCATTGGTTGATAGATTTTGGTTTGTTGGTTTTTTATTTTCATAAGTTACTTTTTTAGAGAGGAAAACACAGTCCTCTTTCTTATTGAATTTATTGGGGTGACATTGGTTAATAAAATTAGGTGTATAATTCTATAATACATAATCTGTATATTGTATTGTGTGTTCACCACCCCAAGTCAAATCTCCTTGTATCATTACTTATCTCCCCTTTACCTTTTTCTACCTCCCTTTGCCTTTTCTACCCCCCCCACCCGATTCTCTGTGTCCCTCGTATATGAGTGGATAAAAAAGCTTTGATGCAGCCCTGGCCCAGTGGTTCAGTTGGTTGGAGTGTTTTTTGTTACACCAAAATGTTGCCTGTTCAATCCCAGGAGGCAATGGATAGATGGATAGATGTTTCTCTCTTCTCTCTCTCTCTCTCTCTCTGTCTCTTTCTCCTTTCCTCTCTCTTGTCATTTTCATAATGACATAAAAGTCCAATTTAAAACTTGGAATTTTTGAATCCCTCAAAGTTCTGAACATGGAGAACTAGTCTGGTCTGCCTGGTCTGCAGTCTCCCACTCATAGCAATTGCCTTCCTATCTTTCTACTCCCAGCTTACTTGCTCTGAAGAGACCTCAGACATCTATGTATAAAAACCTGAGCCCATCTGAGCTCCATCCACATCCCACATACACAAATATCTGTCTCTTGACAACCCCCCTGGTCTAAGAATGTGTCCACCAAAGTTATAATATACCAGTAGAAAATAGACCTCAGAAAAATGCAATGACATGCTATGAAAGTGGGCTTGGAAGGAAAACAAAGATTCCATGATCTCAGGGACTCAGAGCATTATCCAGAATTAAGGATGTCTTTGGGTTTCGACAGGCATGTTCTTTTTGGACCTGAATGCTCCTTTCTGGGTGAGAGTGATAGGGCCAGAGCGGGGCCCTGTTAATTGAGGGATTATTAATCACTAAGGAAATTGTGAGTCTTAAATGAGATAAAATTTATTAATTATGTGCTGGAATCATGCTAAACATCTATTCATGGGGGCTAATTTGTATCAATAATCTATATCTCTCTATATAAAAGGCTAAGTAACCAAGTATCTGACCATCCGACCGGCTAGTACATATGACACACACTGGCAATTTAAAAATAAATGTTGACTCATGCATGCACGATATTTGTCCCCATCTGACACTGGTCTCCCATTTAAATTCATTTGAAGACAGTTTTCCATGTTGCCAGCATTTGCGATGACTATTAATAAATCATAAGGACAAACTCTAGACAGAGTAGGAATATCCCTACCTGAACCCATTTTCGAACATGGTCAGTTATATGTTGCTTTTTCTCGAGTTCAAAGAGCGTGTGACGTTAAAGTTGTAAATACTTCATCACAAGGGAAACTAGTCAAGCATTTATGGTCAAGTGTTTTTACTCTTAATGTGATATATAGGAAGATATTAGAATAAGTTTAATCACTTTACCAGTCATTGTATCAGTGTTGTTTTTATATCATGTTTTTATATCTTTTTTTTTATATCATGTTTTTGTTGTTTTTATTATCATGTCTTTGTTGTTGTTATAGCATGTTGTTGTTTATTAATCACTTTACAATTTTCATATACATTTTACTAATTTTTTTTCCATCTCTAACACTTCTATTATAGAGAAAGGGCGAAGAGCAATATTAAAATATTTCTTCTAATTAATTTCCTTTCAATGGGCATGAATCCGTGCACTGGGCCACTAGTAGAATAATAATAACTTTATCCACCTCAAATGGTTGATAACATATACAATTAACTACCATCTCAATGCCTTAAATAATGTTGTTTTGTTTTTTTTTACTTATTCTCTATGAGACATAAAATGCTGGCCAAGGCATGAATTTGGATCTTTGGAGTTCTCAACGGATCTTTAGCTTTGCAACCATGCCAAGCTCTGAATATATTTTCAGGCAATTTCTCCTTTGGGTAATATATTTTAGTTTTCTACTACAAACAAGGGAGAGGACATCAGTGTATTTACATCAAACACCAAGCTACCATGAAATTGCACATCTTTAAATTTTAATTTAATGCCCTTCCAGAGGTGCACTCATAAGAAAACTAGTTTATTCCACTTATCAACATGAGATGAATGAGGAGATCCAGCAGTAGCAAGTTGATGAATGAATGAACATATTTTTGTGACATTAACATAGTTAAAAATCACTATTTTTCCCCTTGACCTCCCACATCTCCTGATGGCTTGAGGAATAGTTTAATCTTTAGAACAATCCCTTTAAATAAATAAAATAAATACATCTGAAAAGTACATAGAAACTTTTTAACAAGCATATACAAAAAGAAAAGAACATGCCCTAACCGGTTTGGCTCAGTGGATAGAGCGTCAGCCTGCGGACTGAAGGGTCCCAGGTTCGATTCCGGTCAAGGGCATGTACCTTGGTTGCAGGCACATCCCCAGT